GCTGCCTCCGCCCCACCTTGCATTTACCGTGCAAAGAGTGCAGCAGGGAATACGCATCTTCACGTCAGGTTATACACGATCTTAAATGAGTGAAATATAGTGAAATGAGGGGAAAGAGCAGACATGCAAAGCTGGCCTGCGTGTGCACGCAGGTGGGATTCGCAGGCGCTCAGGCAAGTTTCCGCTCTTCCACCTGCTTCCAGCGAGCTTAATTACCCACATCCAGAGCGAGGTAGGGACAGAGGAAGCCAGCGAGGAGGCTGCGGGTAGCTAAAAACTGGGTAGGCCAGGGAGAGAACAGAATGCGTGAAAGCAGGTGTGAGACTCAAAGAATATTTTTGGAATAAGGTTTTATTCCCCATTAATGAAGGCAAAGGGTAGGTGCCAATTGAGAAGAGCCTAGCCATGAAGTGGTTAAAATTAAATCCATTTGGCTTACAAAAGATTGGGCTTTAGGTATACAAAAGTGATCTCATGTGGACCCTTATTTCCCCAAGGTGCTTAATAAATGAATCTTCTTATTGTATTTTATGATCATATTTATGAAGTGTTGTATTTTTCCCCAGCCGATATATGCCTCCTGAAAGCCAGTGTAGACAGAGCTCCTCCTCCCGGGAAGACAGCGTGGGTGGCACTCTTTCCCCTGTTCTCCCTGCTAAGGACAATTAAAGAACTTATGCATAGTGTACACACAAGATGAAATGTGGGGCTCTACCATGCTAGCGATCTTGGAGACTGATGAACAGTTCACACAGTGTACAAAGTTGTGAATTTGTTGATTTTCTTTTTTTCCTTATAAATCCTAAAATTGAAGTTGAAGAAGCCAGTGACCAGAAAATGCCAATGACTACTTTAGAAGAAAAAAAAAAAAAAAAAAAACCTTGATGAAAGCCCGTGCCCTTGCTAGCCAAAGGACCGGAACAGGGGCAGCATAGCAAGAAGCAAGAGATTTAGAAAACGCTGCTCCTCTGGCCAACGTCACAGCCCGCACGGAGCTCCCACCACACACCAGCAAAGCTGAGTAGGGCGCCCAGACCTGCCCCTCCACACCCAGAAGGGCGAAAGGAGGAGCTCCCATCACGCCCACCTCCGCGTGGACATGGCTTCAGAGAAGCTGAGGGTGTCCATCCCTAGCCGGACTTAATGTGGACACCACCTGTACCCGCTCTTCCCTCCTCCTCCCGCTGCCAAGAATCAGGGCTTTTGCCCCCTCCAGCAGCAGTCAGGCTCCTCCTGTGGGGCCTAAGTGAAGGCCACAGGGAGCCACAGTTCTCGTCCCTGGCCAGCAGGCAGGAGAGGCCCTCAGTGGGAAACCGCACCAGCACCCAGACCTCTGCCTCCACTGGGTGCTAACACGGCAGCACCTCCTGCTGCCATACCTGAGCTGTTTCAGGAAAAGCCAAAGAAAACAGCAGGTTTAAATAAGATTCTTGAGAGTCTTGGAACATGCAAAGATGTGCCAAGTGCAACTGGAAGTTATTCATTGTTCAAAACTACAATTTTACCACTCTTCTTCAAAGTAGTGTAAATCATTGCAGTATAGTATTACAGGAAAAGAAATTAACAAGCATAGCGGTTAGAAAAAAAAGAATTTTCTATTTATATTTGCAGATGGAAGGAATCTACAAAAGAAAAAGTCCTAGAACTAATTTAATAAAGTAATAAACTACTAAAAGTAAAGCAACCAACTTTCTATGATCTTACATACAGCACCGAACAATGGAATTAATAATACAATGTCAGCTACTACTGCTCACAAGAAACATTTAGAAGGGCCAGCTAGATAGCGCAGCAGACTAAAGCGCCTGCTCAGGCAGATGCAGGGACCAGGGTTTGATCCCTGTGTGCAGTTGGGGCCCTGGCCCCTGGGTGCATTGAGACAGCAACTGAGACTGGGCGTGGTGGTGAGTGCCTGTAATCCCAGCACTTGGAAGGTCGAAAACAGGAGAATCACTACAAGTCCAATCTGTGCAATGAGACCCTGTAGACCCTACACCAAAAAAAAAAAAAAGTTAGGTATGAGTCTAACAAAATATAAGGAGGCCTGTAACCTGGAGACTAGAAAACATGGATTAGGGGCTGGGGGGTTTGATCCCTGGGTCTGCTGTGCCATCCCCCCCCCAGCCATTTCTGGGCATGCTGAGACAGCAATTGAGACTGGGCATGGTGGCACGCGCCTGTAATCCCAGCTCTTGGGAGGCTGTAAACAGGTGGATCACTATGAGTCCGATCTAGTAGTGAGACCCTGAACACCCTGTAGACCCTCTCCTAAAATACAAAAAAAAAAAGAAAGAAAAGACTGATTTTAAAAAACTAAAAATCTAAATTAAAGAAAATAAATAGACATGTGGTGTTCCATGACTTGAGATATTCAATGAATAGGTCCATTTCTCCTAATTGATACCATTAATGTTGTCATTCCTATCAAAATCCTAGCAAGATTTCATAGACACAGACAAGATTGTTCTCAAGTGTATATAAAAAGGGAAAAAGACTGTCAAAGAAGAATGCAGTCGGAGGAATCAGCCTTTCTGATTTTAAAATTGTTGCTACGATAATTACGAAGGTGTGGTGTTGGTAGGGACGGCGACACAGAGGCACGTGGAGCCTAGAAATAAAGCTGCACAAGTGCCCCCGACTGACGTTGGCCGAGGTGCCCACGCGTCAGGAAAAGCAGCCCGCTAGATTCGCACCACCAGAGCACTCGGGTGTCCATAGCCAACGGACCAGGACATCCAGCTACCTCTCACGCCTTATACCACGGCGATACAAAAAACCTATACAAAGAAACACGGCGAGGTTGGATTTTATTCAAGTTAAAACCTTAAATCCATGAAAGATGATGTCAAGAAAGACAAAAAGGAGAAAACACTGATAAAGCACAGACCTAAGAACTAATATCGATATAAAAACTTCAAAATTCAGTAAAAAAATCTAATTATAAAATGTTCAAATTACACAAATAGACATTTAATCAAAGAGGATGTTCCTATGGCACATAAGCACTTGGGGTCAACTGTTAGAGTTCAGAACTAGAATGTCCCCAAAACTCCTGTGACAGCAGCAGGTCCTTCAGTGTGTGGTCCTGGGCTGCCTTCCCACTGGCAGGCTCTTCCTCTGCAGGGGTCAGCTGCTGACAGGCACTGCAGGGGTGGGGCGGCCTGGCAGTGAGCCCCGGTGACAGCCTGCAGACTCCCTCCCAAGGCTGGTCCTCTTCTCTGTACAGTGAGCAGGCTTCCTCCTCCGAAGCACTAAGACATGCAGCCTGCTCTCTCACTTCTGACTTGGACTGTGTCATGGATTGTTTATGTGGACTGTCCCCTTGGATTGTGCCCTTGGACTGTATCCTGGACTGTACGGTGGGCTGTACCCATAGACAGTACCAATAGACTGTACGGTGCATGGTACCCTGGGACTGGACCCATGGACTACACTCATGGACTGTATCCATGAACTGTACCCATGCATTGTACCATGGACTGTACCATGGACTGTGCCGTGAACTGTATCCACGCACTCTACAATGAACTGTATCCTTAGACTGTACCATGGACTGTACCCATGGACTATTTCCCATGGACTATACCATGCACTATACCATGAACTGTATCCATGCACTGTACAATGAAATGTATCCTTGGACTATTTACATGGACTATACCATGGATTGTATCCTTGGACTGTACCATTAGACTGCACCCTTGCACTGTACCATGGACTACAGCATGGACTGTCCCCTTGGACTATACCATGGGCTGTACCATGGAATGTGTTCTAGGACTGTATCCATGGACTGGACCCATCGATGACTGTGCCGTAGGACTGTATCATGGACTGTCCCCTTGGACTATGTGGGCTCTTCCTTGAAGTGTACCCACAGACTATACCATGGACTGTGTCCATGAGAAAATATGAGCCTCTCCTCCTTTAAGTTGTGTGTGTGTCAGTTATTGTGTCTCAATGAGAAAGAAAGACAAAGGAAATGACTTATCACTATCAGAATGAATAAAATAAAACCAAATGACACCAAAAGCTGGCCCAGAAGCAGAGAAACTGACTAACTGATACATTGTCTATGAACATACAAAATTTTAGAGCCTCTCTGAGAACCAATACAGTGCTTTCTACAGAAACGTAAATACTGGAAAACCTAGCAGTTGCATTCCTGGTCATTTACCGCAGAGAAATGAAGACATTGCCCCAACCTGAACCAGAATGTTTGTAGTACTTTTATTTCAGCGTCACAGTCCTGAAACAACCCAGCAGCTCTTCAGCAAGAAATGGCTAAACAAAGTTTAGTGCAACCCGCCATGGGATGCTACTCAGCAGGAAAAAGGAATGAACCATGAAGCCATGAGGTCATGTCAAACCTGGAAGAGTCCCCAGAGAATCATTGTGAATGAAAAAAAAAGCGACCAAAAATTACATATTGCATGATTCGATTTATATAATACTCTTTAAATGACAAAATTATAGAGTTGTTCACCATAGTAATAGGTCTTAATAATTGGCAAAGAATTCAGAAGGCTTGGGGACCTCTTAAGGGGCCCTTGTACTGATGAAAATGTTCTGCAGTTTAAACTTATTAATGTTGCCATGGAGACCGTGATGTTACACCCCGTCTCCACGACGGGACACTGGGTAGTATACACAGAGCTGCCATGTGCTATTTCTTATAACTGCATGTTGAATTGTCTCCAAGTAAGAAGCATAAAAATAAGCCCTTAGAAGTGGAACTTACAGAGTCACTTGCTAATTAAATGGTTAAGTTGCACAAATCATCCCAGATTGTGTACCATGCCCTGTCTTCAGGAGTCAGTCCTTGTCCTTTTCTTGATCAGAGTGTGGATAGATAATTTCTGTTGTGAAATTACACTTTTTAAGGGAAAATATGATTAGTGCAAAAAGCCTGGGAAGACCAGGGATCCGCTGTTGACTGTCCTTTGTGTGAGGTCTACAGCCGCCATCGGGTAACGTGTCACACTCTTTCTCATCTGCAGGAAAGCCACTAATGAAGACATCACGAATGACTGTGGTCAACACAGAGAAGCCTACGGTCACTGTGGACATAGGAAGCACTGTCAAAACAGTGCAGGGAGTGAACGTGACAATCCACTGCCAAGTTGCAGGTGAGCAGTTGACACCGCATTCATTCATTCAAATACCAATAGAGAAGGGCCAGAGAGATAGCGCAGCAGCACAGCGCCTGTCTGGCAAGCGCAAGGTCCTGAGTTCAGTTCTAAGTACCAAAAAAAGTACTTATTCCAGGTTGAAGCACACCAAGACAAACTGGACACAGCTACTCCCAGGGACTAAGACAGACAGGTAAACTAAAGCGTAAGCCTCAGTCACTCAGAAATTACAAAGCGATGCAAAAACTTCGAGGAGGAAAAATTGCTTCTGGCTGGGACCAGTGAGCTCTGGGCACTGAAATAACTGTTTCTAGGACAAGACACAGTTGTATGCATTTAGGAGCACGCGCTCTGGCCATGGCACGGAAGGCCCAAGCCACGCTGCCTCGCATGCTCGTTGCCCCACTCGCCTGTCACCTGGGTGTTTTGTTTGCTTGCTCATCTCAGCCTTTTGCACTAATGCAAACACGGGGGCCTAGGGGCTCCAAGCAAATGTGAAGTTCATGAAATCTGGAGCCCTCCTGGCCTTGCAGGAACAGTGTGAGTACTGGCCTGGAGCCCAGGGCACAGAAGTGGTGGGGTGGGCTCAAGCTGCAGTGCAGTGTGTGATGACCAGGACACAACAGGCCGTCACTGCCGGCCCAGGACTCCAGGGAGAGCAGGGCCCGTGACACCGAGGAGCCGCGCTCCTGAGAGGACGCTGCTATAGCACACAAGGTGGACTGAGGAAAGGGGCCTGGGACAGAGGGCCGGGGGGGAGCCAATGCTGGGCTCAGAGGAGCAGTCTTGGGACCCGAGATCAGGAGTGGGCAAGCCTGAGAGCAGGGGCCAGGCCCACAGGAACTAGAGCTTGCACAGAAGTGCAAGGAGTCCTTGGAGAAGACAGCCAGTGCCATCCAGAGTCGTGATGCAGGCATTGTCCTCCACAAGGGCTTCCAGAGGCCAACGGGGGCCAGGAAGCACAGAGGAACTAGGGATAAGGAGGAGGGCAGGTGCCTCCTCCCCCAGAGGAAGGAAGAACTGAGTGCTTCCCGTGCCAGTGAGTGGCCACGATGTGCTGATTGCCATCGCCCTGCCGAGGCACGTGCACGCCCAAACCAGAGTCCCGTTACATCTTACCTGCAACGTAGACAAACACCCCCTATCCGTGGGCTTCTTCAGCTCAGATCTCGGCCTCATCACCTGAAGGTCTGCCTTCATTGCAATCTATAATTCTAGAAAACTCATTTTTGAGTTCAACAGAGGACGATCTTGGTCTTGAGCACGTTGTTTCCGAAGGATGGCTAGGCTTGATTTCCCCGAAATGTCCTAATAGCTCCAGGACCTCTGAAACACGAATCTCAGTATTTGTGCACTGGCGCCTCCTTGCCAGGCTTCCCTGGCCTGCGCGTCAGCAGCGTCTGAGGTCTTCTAGACCAAAGCCCTGCAGGCCCTGTGCTCCTAGGCAAGAAGGCTGCGGGCTGGGCAGGCCTGAAGGGCGTCTGCGGAGCCCTCGCTGCAGATCGCTGCCCACCTGATCCTTCGGTGCATGCCCTGGAGGTGAATGCTCTTCTGTGATAGAGCATGTGTGTCTCTCCTTGACACGGGGATTGGTGGAAGTAAAAGAATGGGGACAGGCAGCAAGACAAGGAAGCGAGCCCTAGAATAAGACTGACAGAGCCAGACTGCAGGTGGGACACAGTGGCCGTGGGAGTCCAGGATAGCGCAGGGAGCTGTCCCCTCCATCCATGCTGCCTGGGGCCTCTGTCCCCCGTGACATCTGCCCTGGATGTTCAGCTGGAAACTCATCACATTATGGTCTTTGCCTTTATCCATAGAGCCACTTGGTTTATTTCTGCTTACCTAGAAACAGATCTTCAGATGTCTCAGTCCTTCTGCCTCTTGTTAAACAAGGCATTTGGTCAAGGTGAGCCGGCCGGCACATGCCCTTGGTTGCTTGGTGAGTTTGCCAGAGACCACCCCCCAGTCAAAACACTGACAGCACTGCTAGCCACAAGTACAGGGAGCCGCCCTCACTTTCCGGCCATAGATGGCTGTCATGACTCGAACTGCTCCTAACCATCTCTGCCATCCCCTGCCCATGGGCTTAGTGACAGTCCTGACTGGTTGGGTAAAAGTTTGTGATTTTAAGCTCAAGAACATTGCCAGTGGCCAGCAGTATACTCGCTCAAGCAGAAGGCTGCATGCTCTGGGGATAGGTGGGAAGTGACCTCATTAAAGGAGGATTTTGTGTTCAGTTCTGACCTAGGCCCTTGTTCCACTGCTGAAACACAATGCTCAGTGCCCATGACTTTAAGAGGAAGAGGTTTGTGCTGTCTCCCAATAACAACCTGTGGTCAGCTGGTGCCAAGAGAGAAACAGGATGGCAGGGTCCATGGCAGAGGAAATGTGGCCAACCTGTGGCCTCCAGGAAGCAGAGAAAGGGAAGCCAGGCAGGGCCAAGGTACCTCCGCCTCGTCGCACCTCTTAACAGCATGGTCAGCTCCTGGCACACAGGAGTGAATCCACTGATGCCAGAGAACTAATGGCCTTCCACAAGCGTGACAATGTGGATCGACCCTTTAGATCTAAACCGTAACAAGTCCATTCGTGTTATTGGTCGGCAACTTTTTATTGAAGAGCTAATGTAGGTTAGACCAGCTGTTTCCTAAGCTAGGAAGACCTAGATAAATGAATAAAACTTTCAGGAAATGAACAGCATGAGAAGAGGGGGAGTTATGAGATACACAATTGTGATACGTGATATAGAGATACAGCTGATGCTTTCTTCTGTTACACCACATTGAAACATTAAGGCAGAAACCTTAGAAAACACACAAATGTGATCGAGGCCAAAACAGAAGCAAAATAGTTTGCTCTAAGTAGAACTCGCTGAATTCAGCCAAAGGACACTGCAGCATGTTCCCTGAGTCACCACATTTCAGCTGCTTTTTTTTCCACTCACTACGTATGTGTCTCTGTAATAAGCTTAAGGTCAAAGGCTATTTAATAATATATATATACATATATATTACATAGATTATATATAATAGATTATATATATATATATATATATATATATATATTTTTTTTTTTTTTCTGGAACTGGGGTTTGAACTCAGACCCTTGGCACTTGCCAGGGAAGTGCTTATTCTACTGAGCCATCTCCCTGGCCCCTAATAATCTATATTTTAAGAATATTTAATTTACCTAGGCATGTGTCGTGTGAGGGCTGTTATGCTTGGGAAGGCCAATGGAAGCCATTAGAGTTGCCTTTGCCTGGTTAAATAGTGAAGCAAAAGCAGCAGGGCATTCCTGGAGGGACTGCAGAGATCAGTGCCACCACCAAGGACCTAAAGGTGCAGAGTGGGGGTCCCCACCACAGCTCCATTTAATTCTCCCATTTGGCCGTGCAGAAGACAGATGGGTCTTGGAGAATGAAGTAAATTACCACAATCCGAATCAAGTGGTGACTCTAATTGCCCCTGCAGTACCGGATGTGGTTTCCTTGGCTGAGCGGATTAGCACATCTCCTGGAAGCTGGTACACAGCTGTTGATTTGGCAAATGCCACCCTCTCCATACCTATCCACAAGGCCATCAGAAACTATTTGCTTTCAGGTGGCAAGGCGAGCAATATGCCTTCACTGTCTCGCCACAAGGATATATTTACTCTCCTGCCCTGTGTCACAACTTAGTTCGTAGGAATCTTGGTCGCCTTTCTCTTCCTCAAGTTGTCACGCTGGTCCATTACATTGATGATATCATGCTGATTGGGCCTGGTGAGCAGGAGGTGGCAACCGCCTTGGATTTGTTAGTACAGCATTTGAGAACCAGAGGATGGGAGATAAATCCCACAAAAATTCAAGGGCCTTCTACCTCAGTGAAGTTTCTAGGCGTCCAGTGGTGTGGAGCATGTACAGATATCCCTTCTTAGATAAAAGATAAGGGGTTGCATCTGGCTTCCCATTTGACAAAAAAACAGGCACCATGCCTGGTGGGGCTATTTGGATTTTGGAGGCGACACGTTCGTCACTTAGGTGTCTTACTCTGGCTCATTTACTGAGTAACTCAGAAAGCTGCTAATTTTGAGTGGGGCCCAGAACAGGAAAAGGCCCTGCAACAGGTCAGGCTGCTGTCCAGGCTGCTCTGCCCCTGGGCCATATGACCCAGCGATCCAACGGTACGTGGAGTGGCAGTGGCAGGTAGGGGTGCTGTTTGGAGTCTCTGGCAGGCCCCGAAGGTGAACTGCAGCGCAGGGCTTTAGGATTTTGGAGCAGGGCTCTGCTGTCATCTGCAGACAACTACTCTCCCTCTGAAAAACAGCTCCTGGCCTGCTACTGGGCCTTAGTGGAAAATAAAGGCTTGATCATGGGACACCAGGTCACCATGCAACCTGAGCTGCTGTCGTGGCCCAAGTATTTATCTTACCCACCACACCGTAAGTTTGGACATGCACAACAGCCTGTCATTAAATGGATATGGTATACACGTGGAGTGCAGGAGACCCCTTAGGGCGCCTCTTAGCGTTACTATGCCCTGTTATTAAAATCAATGGGAAGCTTCAACAACCTAACATAGGCACAATGACTAAGGCCCAGAGCCCTCAGGAATGAAGGTGTGGGTCACTCCACCAGGGAAGGAAACAAGACCTGCTGAGGTGCCTGCTGAAGGCCAGGGGAATGCAGAATGGGTGGTGGAAGAAGGTAGTTCTAAATACCAGCTATGACCCCAGATGTTTCTTTCTGTAGAATGTGCTGTCACATTACGGGGCTGAGGTCCAGACCCAAAAGCCTCCATCACCTGGCCACGCCTCCCATAAGAGACTCACCAGAGTCAGTGCCAAGGGTGCTAGATGCCTCTTTCCAACAGCAAAAAGGTCCGTTCTAAAAGAAGCATGATGAAGTATTCAGTCGTGCAGAAATAGCGAGACAGCAGTTCGGGTTTTCTGGAAAGAGGCAGGCTGGCACAAGGGAGCTGGGTATGCACGGCTCAGCTGGACGCTCTTGGGACCGGAGCATCTCAGCCTGGGTCGCTGCCTTCCCCTGATGGGTTACTGATTGGCCAAATGAGCAGGAAGTAGAGGGGAAGAAGGACAGCTGTAATCAGTATCAGGTGTAGAACAGAAAGGTCCCCCCAAAGCCTCCTATGTTCGAAGGTGGGGCTGTTGGAGGGTTCTGGGATAACGGGCACACTGCCCGCTCGTGAATCCGCAGCTCAAGTTCCCTTTGGAGGCGGGGCCTGGGCAGAAGAGCTGGGTCCCCAGGTCACAGCCCGCACCTGCAGTGCGGCTCTCTCCCAGCTCCTCCTGTTCTCTAGGCTTCTGGCTGCCTGCCAGGAGCAGCTTTCTTTGGCCAGCCCCTTCCTGCACACCCTTCTCCCATGAAGCCAGCTAACTGTGGACTGAATCCTCCAAATCCGCAGGCCAAAACAAACCTCTCTTCCTCTAAATTGCGGGTGTTGGGTGTTTGGGCTCCCCCACACGCGCTTCCTTCGCCCTCTCTTCCTTCACTCTCTCTCTGCCCTGCATCTCTCCGTCTCTTGCTCCTTTGTAGAGTACGTGGTCCAGCAGAGCAGGCCACAGCGCCAGCAGCAGGGAGCTGTGTTGCAGGCAGTCCGCGTGACACCCAGAAAGCGCCGCGGTGCTGCCTCGGAGGCGTGCGCGAGGCCCCGTCTGCGCAGGCCCGGACTGCCCCAGCCGCATTCACGTAGGCAGCGCCTTTGTGGAGGAAACTGAATAAGGCCCATTTCGGCCCATTCGCTTTCTCTGCCTGTCGTGTTCTAGAACAGCCCTAGCCCCGTTAGAAACTACGTGCTTGCTGACCAAAGCTCTCGTCCAAAGCAGGTGCCTGCCACACATGGCACTTGAGGATCAATTCTAAAGAAAGGAGATAGCCACTCGTGGAAAACTGTTGTAGAACCGCACTTTTCCCTGTGCTTTTGGAATAGAAATGCCTTCGGGTCCTTTTTCTTCACCTTGCTTTCAGAGGCTTTCTACTGCACGCTAGGGATTCTGAGCTCAGGATCCACAGCCCGACTGGCACAGGCACGCGTTGTAACGCTCTCGCTCTCCCTGGTGGTGCTGCAGTGGAAATCTGTCTTCTGCCTCCCACCTGTCACCTAGCAGAGAGGAAGGCGTCTGTCAGCACAACCGCCTGAGCTCAGGCGCTGAGCCACGGGGGCTGGGTTAGTGTGTACCTCTCCCTGGCGTGGCCAGCCGCAGCGCTCCCATCTCCACGGCCTTCATCAGCCCTGCTTCTCTTCTGTGTCCATCCTCACAGCCAATTTCAAGGACAAACACAGATACACACACAACTTCTAGGTGACTTGGACACCCCAACTCGGGCTGGCCAGGAAGAGCAATGGTGCCCCCACCCCACGGCCACCTAGGCCCAACTTGGGAACAGCCTCAACTCTGAAAAGGATCTAGCAGCTTTTATCTGTCTAGGTCAGACATGCAGCTTCATGTTTTAAAACTGTTAACTTTTCACTGAAATATGATGCCTAACCAGGTGTGGTAGCTCACACCTCCAATCCCAGCACTCGGGAGGCTGAGGCAGGAGCATCACTGTGAGTTCAAGACCAGCCTGGGATATAAAGTGAGCTTAAGGCCAGCCTGAGCTGTATAGTGAGACCCTGTCTC